TCCCTGCGGAACAGGCCAATAGAGTACTTCTGTGTTTTCATGTGCTGACAGTGTATTTATTTCTAATTTTGTGTTCTCTCTGCCTGATGGAATATTGATAAGGACCTTACTGAAGAGGTCGATAATTCTGCATGAGTTACTTTAGTATATTTTTTCAGAGCAGCTTGCCATATGTCCAGTGACAGTTAAATCATATGGGGATGATTACATTGTCAGTTATATCTTCAGAGTTTAAGCTGTTCAGAACTTGCAGTCAGGCAACAAAAAACCACAGGTCTCAAGAAAGTATTTTCCAAGTGTAGTAAACTTGAAGGTTGACTCAAACTTTCTTCCGTATCTGGGCAGGTGGAAGGAAAAGGACAAATGTAATTTGAGAATAACTGTTTTAAACTTGGGTAGCTGGAGAGACAGAATGGTGTTTGTTAATAGCACAGGATAGAAATATTTTCATGAGGAGAAAATGCAGCCATAAGAAGATGGTGGAGTTGTATTACCTGACATCTTTTCCTACAGAGTGCTGAGGGTGGCTGTAGCAGTGATATGTGCTGTGCTATGAAAAACGATTAGAAGCAGGGGGGACTTTGACATGCTTGGGTGCATGTCTGTCTGCATAACCCTAATATTACTTCAGAAAAAAAATTATTCAGCATCGGTATGAAATGTATATGCATATGAAAATAATGTCAGAGGACATTAGAGGATTTTTTTTCTTTTTTTTTTTAAGTTGTCTTCTTGGCCCTGCTTGTGATGCCCTGTAATTTGTTCCTTCTGTCCAGATGTTCTTTTTCGACTTGTCTGATGTTACGCATCTTTTTTAGGATTTATTTTAATACAGCAGTACTTTGAAAGATGTGCTGATTTATATGAGGTATGAGTTATATGAGTGAAAACACAATTTATTAAAATTTATTTTTTTATTATTGTAACTCAGGCATCTGGATTAAACTCCACTCAGCATGAGAAGTATCTGGTGTTGGTAATTCTGATTAACAGTTTCATCTGGTAGCATCCAGGTGTATAAAAATTATTTTGTCTCTTGGGGATTTTAAAACATAGTAAATGCTGGACTGTGCTGTGCCTGTCTTAAAAGATCCCTTGGTAGCTGCCATAATAATTTTCCAGGATAATTATACGTTGAGTAAAGGATTATTATTAGTATTCTGGGGATGCTTACATACTGCAAATGCAGGAATATTTGGGAGAAACAAAACTCAAAACCTTCTTATTGGCCTAATGCTTTCTGTATAAGCTGCTGCTTTTAGGCAGTGTGAACTCTTTTTACCTAACATATTGAATTGCTTGCTGAAGAAAAAAAAGCCTACCTTAGGCTATCTTGAGTGAGATTTTGCTAGTGATTTAAAGATTTTCCAGAAGACCTTTCTTCTATAATCCTGTAGAAAGCACCATGCCTACAGGAACACTTGTGCTATCATTAACAAAAGAGTTGCAGAAGCTGGAGAATCTGTTAATTATTTTTCTGTTTGAAGAAAACCATTTTATTGATCCATATCCATGAAGAAAAGCAGTGTATATCGGTAACAGGCATCTTTCTTACTTTTGAGAGAGTGTGTAAATTTTTTTGAGAAACTGTCAGGTTTATTGTATTAGCTTGAAACAAAGATCAGCTTTGTAATTTGGAGTAGCAGCTGAATTTGCAAAGTCCTCCTAGACAGTTGAGGGATATCTTTCTCCTGTGTGCATGTATTTATTCCTCATTTCAGGAAATTTGATACACTCTTAGATACACTCCTGCTGACTCCCAGGAATAAGTGGCCTGTGGTGGTGAAGGTTTGACTATGCTCAGGAGGTCATGAAGTCAATCTAATGAATTTAGATAAGTCTAAATCTTAAGTTCCTTTAGGCTGAAAACAAAACTGTAGTGAGTTGTAAGATTGTTATAGTTAGTCAGTGGATAGTCATGATCCTTGCTCGGGGGAAAACCTCTCAAAAAGTTGAGAGAAAGGATGTCAGTCAGGTTTAAAACACTGTGTAGGTTTTTCTGCAAATATTTACTTTCCTTTCAGAAGTAATTAGGTGGCACAGCCCTTAGATGATGTTTTGATGGGCTCGATTAGCTGCCAACACAGATAGAGGGAATGAGTCATGAATCTTTTTAATCTGTTAAAATATGCATTTTGTACAAGAACAAAGAAGCTCTAATACTGTTGTTGATGTCTTTGAAATCTAACATAAAAATGGGTCTTTTCAAGCTTTTTGAAATTGCAGCTTTCATACAATAGGCAAGTAGTAGAATAATTTGTCAGAATAATTCCTGAAATTTTTTGTAAGAGGTTTCACAAGATGTTATAAAGAAAGAAATACTAAAATATCAAAATGAAATAATCCAGGTAATTACATATGCTTTGCTCTGTTTAATAAAAAAGTATATTGAATAACTGAACCCAAATTTGATTGATTTTTGTAGTAAAAACTTGTTTTTCAAAGTACTTAGTAGATCATGTGTGGTAATGCATTTTTTTTTTTACTTCTCAGTTGTAAAATTTAAGATACATTTAGCTTATATTTGGTAAATTTGAAACTTTAAAATGCTGAGCTGTTAAGGGTGTCTTCAGGGTTCGCTATCAACAGCTTAAAAAAAAAAAAAAAAGAGAAGAAGAAAAAAAGAAAGCAGCCCCCCCAGGAAAACAAACCCCCAAACCCGAAGTATTATATATGTTGTAATAAAAAGGATCAGTCTTGCTTCTCAGGTGTCTAGGCTTGTATGATTTAGTTTATTCGTCTTTATTGAATTCCAGATTTATTTGAAAGTAGTGGCCTAAATATCTATGTTTTTAATCCAGTTGCATTTCTGTTTTTAAAAAAAACATCCAAGCAAATTGATTGTGATTCCAGAGAATTCATTTCATGTTTAGAAATCCTGTTGAAGAGTAGAGATGCTGTATACTTGCATTAAAAGCCTCGTTATACTCCTTCTTCTAACCAGAAACTTAATAGTTATCACTGAGCCTTTGTCTTTCTCTCCATCTTTCCCATCAAAACTGTGATAACAAAATGGCTTAATGTACGATACCAAATGCTGAAAGCTTCATCCAAAAAACGGAGCACACATTTTGAAACACTGACAGTGGAAGTCTGATTCACTGTTGTTGGAAAAGCTCCCATTGCTGCCTTAACCTTTCAAACAAGCCCTTAAACATACTTACTTGCAATTTTGCAAAATGTTGAATACAGTTAGCTTTTCATAGTAGAGAATCTTGACGTTCAGCACTTTAAAGGGCTTTCTTTTCACTTCTTAATCTGTAGAACTTTGTAATTGGTAGTGTGTCGTGCCATCTGTAAGAAAAATACTTTATTTCCACAAAATATGTATGTATATCTATAAAAAAATATAGACATGAATCTTGTAAGTCTAGATTACATAGCTGAAAGAATTTTTAAGTTTGTTGCCTAAGGTACCATCTGTAGTTGAATAAACCCATTTTTTATCATTCTTTTGTGTAAATGCATTTGAGTAAAACATTATGGCTGCTTAATTGGCTTCAGAGACTTGCATCTAGAGGTCTGCAAAAGTGTTTAAAAAAAGTGTTAAAAAAAGTTAAAATATTTCTGCATAAATGTACATGGTGAAGAGAGAACATTGCTTATAATGTTTATATAGTCTGTGGTCTACATTGTAAGTAAGAAAATGTGCAAGTGAGGATTTTATGTATTGAGAATTAGATTTTGTGAAGATGTCTGGCTCAACTTGTAAAGACACTGTTATGAAATGCTTCAGTTGTGATATAGAGGAGGGGAAACAGTGATAACTTAGGTCTAAAAGATCATATTTTTATTTCTATGGGCAATTTTGAACTTTTACACAACTAATAAATCATAAAGGAAGACATTTGAACAATTTTTTTTTTTGTTCCTTACAGACGAAAGAAGTTGGTTTACTTGATGCAGACATATATGGACCTTCAATTCCAAAGATGATGAACTTAAAAGGAAACCCAGAATTAACACCAAGTAAGTGGAAGTGATATTTCTTGCTATCTTCTTTGTACAGGAATGAGCGTGGACCACTCATTGGTGCTTTCTTGGTGTGGCGCAGAAGAGATGCAAGCAGAAGATGAAGACAGTGTATTTTTTTTTTTTTAATTTTATTTTTTATTTGTAGTAATGAGGTTGATTTCAAGACTAGCTTGTACAACCAGGAGCATGTTCAGGGTCCTTTTTTTTTTTTCCTTTAACGTTGGTCTACAGGCTCTGGGAGTTTCATGGATTATGAATAGATGCTGGAAAGGGTAGCTAGGAAAGAATGGTTAATGTCAGTAGTTTTAAACTTACTATACAGGTTCCCACTTAAAAAACAAGAACTAGTCTAGGAAAAAAAAAAAAGACTAATCTAGGAAATAAGAGAAGGATCATTACAGTAGCTTGTATAAAATATCATTGAAATGAATGTGTTTGATCTTTTTTTCTTCAACCAAGCACGCCAGGCCACTTGATTAATTTTCATTTGAAGTTTCATGTTTAGGAATACAGTGGTGGTGACTTCACTACCAGAAGGTGAAGACAAAACACCTAGTTTTCCTTCTGCTAGGAAGGATTCTGGTCTGGGGAAAAGTAAATTCAGGTAGAAGAGTGTGGGGAGAAATAAGGAAAACCTAGAGTAAGAAGGTTTCATCAACACTGTGTACCTTTTAGAAATTTAACTTCTGCTCAGGCCGACCAAGGGTGAAACTGAAGAATGGCTTTATCCTGATATCCTGTTTATGTGATGCTTGACTGCAAGGGAGTGTGCTTTTTTGGGGTGGTAGGGACACTGAGGCGATAGGATTTGTTTAATGCTTTGTTTTGCCCGTCCTGTGTGCCCGTCCTGTGATAAAGTGCAATTATAAAAATTAAAAACATGAAACCACAGACAAAAACAGTCCCACACTATAACACCTGGTCTACACATTATAAAGTACGAGGATCCTACTGAAGAAGGTACAAATTGGCAATACTTGTTGACAGGGAGAGATCAAGGACATATATCAGTTCAGATAGGACATAAAAGAGCTTCAGTGGAATAATCAACTGTAAATACCCATTAATGTTTGTGGGCTGTAATTGCTAGGTAAAAGGGAAGTTAACTATGCCTTCCACTTCCTTTCATGCCATGATCTTTGTTTAGTTACCATAGAGTAGTTTGTGTTGGAAGGGACCTTTAAAGGCCATCTAGTCTCACCCCCCTACAATGGGCAGGGACATCTTCAACTAGACCAGCTTGCTCAGAGCCCCGTCCAACCTGACCTTGAATGTTTCCAGGGATGGGGCATCTACCACCTCTCTGGGCAACCTGTGCCAGGGTTTCACCACCCTCAGTGTAAAAAATTTCTTCCTTAGATCAAGTCTAAATCTACCCTCTGTTAGTTTAAAACCATTACCCCTTGTCCTATTGCAACAGGCCCTGCTAAAAAGTCTGTCCCCATCTTTCCTATAGATCCCCTTTAAGTACTGGAAGGCTGCAGTAAAGTCTCCCTGGAGCCTTCTCTTCTGCAGGCTGAACAACCCCAACTCTCTCAGCCTGTCCTCATAGGAGAGGTGTTCAGTCCTTCCACATCTACTCTGCTGTTGTTGTAGAATGTCCATTTGTAACTGATCTTAACTTCTGCATGTGCATGGATGTTGTGGTGGTTGTTCTATACATTCTCACTTGGTATAAAGCATGCAGAATGAAACAGTGCCAATATCTTTAAAGGGTGGCTATTGAGCTTGCAGCATTAGCCTCTGAAAAATTAAGGAAGTGGCATACTTAGGATTTCTTATAAAATTAAAATTCTGTCTCCTTATGCTTATACCCTGTATTCTGTATAAAGGCAATTGTCAAATTGAGTACTCTCTACATTTATGTACCTGGCTTACAAATACACGCTTTATTTAGATTAGTTTCTAAGAGAGAGGAGAGTACTTGGTTTTATTTGTTGGGTTTCTGTTTTATTTTTTAAAGTCAAAGGCTTATTCTGTTGTGTAATAATTAAATAACTGAACCCTCTCATATATCTTCGGTAGAGTTTGACTTCCTGATGCAAAGTATTCTTGCATTCTTTTGTACTTTGGACCCCGTTGAGGGTATGTGTTACATAGGCCGTGCTGTCCCGTAACAGATTTTTTTGCCATAAATTTTGCATTTGAAGTACATTACGCAATATGAACACAGAAGGGATTACGTTGTGGTGTTCTTCATACCTCTTCTCTCTTCCTTTTTATACGACGTTGACTTTTTCCTTTCTGAAGGAGATCAGGTAAAAATTTGATTCTCCTTTTTCTTTTTTTCCTCACTGCCTGAAAAATTGGTTAGATAACTTTGACCTTCTTACACATGTTGCTGTGTATTTTATCAATCCATAACGAATCTAAATCCATGTCATGAGTCACAAATAAGAAGCAAGTTGCCCAGTGTATTTCATACAGTTAGGCACATTAACTTGCTAGGAATGCAAGAGCTTAAGAGTATTTTCAGTCAGATACTAGGGCAGCTCAATTTTGTTTGTGTATAAATTTCAGTGACTGTAGATATTTTGGGTGTACAGCTGAGAATTCACTATAAGCTTTTGTCTTAACATGTTTTGAGTGTTGTTAAAAATACAGAATTCAATGTAATGGAAAGAAATTGGAGGATTTCCCTGAATTGAAATTGCTGCTGTTGACTTGTAAGCACTAACATTTTGATTGCTAAAATGTATTCTTTCTACTTCTGTGTGGAATGTACAAGCAAATACTATCAGGATTTAAGAACATACCTTATTTTTTTTTAACTGACAGGAAATGAAGTTGCGTATTTCATAAGCTTGACACATTACACAAGTCTACTGAGAAACTAGTGCAGTAATTCAGTATGAATGATAACAGGAGAGAATTTTTATTTCAGGAATTCAGTTTACTTCTCTGTGCACTTCTAACTCTCGAATTGATGCAGTTGTAGAGTAACAACAGTGAAAGTGCTGGCAAAGTAGCTAATATTAAGGTGATTTCATTTTGAAAACAGGAATGTGGAGGGCATAGGAAGCTTTAATTGTGATCTTCAAGGATTCCTTTAATGAGTGACAGATAGGATAAGTTTGCAAGGAAGTGATCCATCTAGGTGTACATATAAAAATATGTATGACCCTTGTATTTTGGTATAATGAGGTTTAGTGTTATTTTCTGATTTCTTACTACATTTTAAAGAATAAAATATAAAATCTGAACAAATACTGTTTTGTACAGTAATTGAGCAAACCGAGGAAGTTTTGTGTTAAGATGTGCATTAACAATATGTACATAACAATAAGTCAATTAAAAAAAATTTTTAATACCATAGCAATCAAAAATTCTATCTGAACTCTATTGCTGTCTCCAGTGTGAGGCCTGGATTTGAAAACGAATTTGTAGTGTAAACCTGGGAGGTTCTGAGCACTCTTGCACTCTTTGATTTCTACTTCTCTTTTCACATGTAGCAGTTGAAAAGGGATTAGGGATGCCTAGTACCATACAGAATAAATCCGTGCAGCAATTTTTACTTCTGAATAGAAATTATTATCGTTATGCTATAATTTAAGTTTTCAAAATGAATTAGGAGTTCTTAATGAGGGGAAAGTGTATAAATGGAAGATACTCCACTAATTTAATTCTGCAAACTGTATTGCATTCGAATGTCTGCTAACATTTAATGGGGTGTAATTCGGAATACTTTAACTGGTCAGGGAGATGTTGGTTAATAAGTTCACAAATGAATTTGATCAGCTAATGGAGAATTATCTAACTATGGAATACATGTTAACATCAGCTACAGTACATACACAGAGCAATGCTTAGAACACAAGTAACAAAAGCATTACTTCTATTCTTTCCTCAAATAATTTACTTAAAAGTCATTTTCTGGCTTAGTGAACTGCATAATTTCATTTTTTTCCTTTTTTAAAAATCTACTATTTAAACTACTTGGCAGAGAGTAAAAGCTATTATATTGCCAAAAAGATTTTGCCAGGTAAGTGTAACATTTCTTCACTTAATATATATGATTATGAAGGTTTTGGTGGCTTTTTTCTTTATGACAGTTGAGTGTTTTCTTAATATTTTAAAGCTTTGTTGCCACTTTATGATATTCTCATTGTCTTTTTTATTTCTTAATAAAGTATATTCAGAGGATCAGTAGTAGGCATCTGTTTTCAAAATTTGGAATAAAAAGGAATTTCTGAGAGAAAGCTAGCAGTAGTTTGTCTGGCCCCATTGAGTCTAATAATATCTCAGGAGCTATAGAAATAAAATTACTGATAAAATTCTGAAGTCAGAAATGGACACTTGCATTTTTTCACTGGGACACATCTACATGTCTGCTACTCTTTATATTGTGGTAGCTGAATCTCCTAACAGAAAGTGATAAGTTAAAATTAAATCTATTGTGGCTGTTTAAAAATGTCTGCTGGAAATAGCTGTATCAAGGGATTGTGGTGCATCCATTTGAGGGTTATAAGTAGAAAATTTGGAATGGACTAGTTTAATAGAGAAAATGTTACATAGGTAGGGTAGTTATTGCAGTAACCATGAAGAAGTTTCTTGATCTTACACAAGGGTTTAATTTTCAACACACAGCTTGTATTCTCAATGTTGCCTTTATCATGTTTTACCAGTGGAACTCCATCACAATTAATTTAAATAAAAACTAAATTTGATTCTTTAAAAAAAGTCATATTTGCCACTGCCATCAGCTCTTGATTTGTGAATGTGTGATTTTTAGATTGTGTATAGTCTAATGATAAGCTTTATTGATTCTATTTTGAAAGAAGTCTGAACTGAAACCTTGTGTTTTACTTTTGGTGATGGCTTATCCCAGTTTATCTGGGTGGCTGGAGTAGTCTCATGTGTCTTACATGTGACATAGTAGTAATTCAGAATGCTGTAATTAGTTGTGGTTTATATTTTGGAGGCTCTTTCATATGTCATGAGGTAGTTGAAAATGAGAATAATATTCAAGTGTTAATTATTTTATTCTGGACCTT